GGGACAGGGACAGGCCCGAGTGTGTCCCCAAAGACATGGAGAACAACGATGGACTAAAAGGACAGGAACTGGGCTGGACTCCACCCGAGGCCTGCTTCCAGGACGCCCTCCTCACCAGAACTCTCTTGTCTAGATCCTGCAGGGACAGAGCGGGATCAGGGACAGGACAGAGTCTTCAGGCAACAATATCACTTTCCATGGACCTTTCTCTGCCTCCCGCCAGGAGCTCCCTAGCTACACTGTAACCTCTGCTCAACAGACCCAACACCCTTGTATAGCCACACCCACACTGAAACCCCTTCCTGCACCACCACCACCCACCCACACCACCACCACCCATCCACCCACCCACCCTCGTACTCCCACACACCCATACCGGACACACTCCTGCATCCTTGGGGAGGGCTGAGAAGCTATGTGGGCTGGAAAGCTTGGAAAAGGTGCAGTAGGATTGCTTCCATGTTTCCACTAGAGGGCTCCCTCACCCGGAGCCGGTTCCCTAGGACACCATCAGAGAAAGCCCTTTCTAAACAAGAAACACTCCCAAGTCCAGGAACATGGGAAGTGGCTTCTCTCAGCTCTTTCCTGTGCAATTTCTCTCTTGCAGAGGCATCCCTGGATGTGCTCAGCTCACGGGAACCAGTCTGGACCGCATTAAGGCACCACCCAGGCCCAACACAAAGCTCCGAAACAGAGCCGGGGTTTCCCACCTCCAGCTCCTGTGACAGTCTGAGCTGCCCCAAAGTCTCCTTCCAAGCTGTCCTTCACCAGAGACACTTGAAGATACATTTGAAGGCTCGGGCCCCAGCTGGCCCCCAGCCTTCTAGGCCCCTCCTACCTGGTTTCCTTTGTACATGGCAGAGAGCCAAGTGGGCCCCTCTGCTCATCCTCCACCTAGGGCTATCAATATTACCTTCTTTCTTCCTTCCCCCACCTCTCTCCTCAGCCCTAAAGGATTCCTCTGCAACATGTAGCATGCATTCACCACTATGAACTAAGCGGCGATGGTGCTGCAGTGTGTACAGCATTCATGCACACATCCTGCTCCGGTGCCCAGCTCCTGCCCCGGTGCCCAGCTCCTGCCCCGGTGCCCAGCTCCTGCTCCGGTGCCCAGCTGCTCCCTTGGGCTGCTTCTATGAGGTATTCTGTTACACTGACAAAATAAAATGTAACTAATATAATGAGCATCTCTTGTCGGCATGGACCCCAGGTTCACCCTTCAGATGTGACGTCCTCTGTGCTCCACCCACATAGCCACTCACCTGCCACATTCCATGCTTTTCTGAGATGTTCTTCTTCCATCCTTCCCAGCCTCCAGCTGCTGCTGAGACAGGTGTACCTACTACACCAGTCTCGACCACCTGCTTGTCAGTCGCCATTTAACTGAGGCGTAACTGCAAATTGACCCAGCTGACCAGTTGGCCCCTGGAGGACACAAGGCTTATAGTAAATTCTTCTCTGTCCTGTGAGGAGCATAGTGCTTTTGCAACATGCAGCTGTCAAGCGTGTGGCAGGGACCGCTGGCCTCTGTGCATGGTGGCTTCACAGGCTTCACAAGCAGAAACACCAGGTACAAAGAAGAGAGGTCATAAAGGCCTGGAAGAGAGCCCTAGATGGGCTGAGTTGGTATGTTTCACATATACCAGCCGGCTAGCTCATCATAGAGCCCAGGCTAACCCATCACAGAGCCCAGGCAGCCACCGTACCATTTTACAGCTGAAGAAAGAAACCTTGCCGAGATTAACTACCCTGTCACACCAATCCAATCCAGTTCAGAACTGGTACCTACATTTCCTGACTCCCAGTCCCTCTGGCTTGCCAGCAACAGCTTCCACCAAATAAATATCACTTCTACAAGCAGCCAAGCAACAGACGGGTAGGCCCCAACTCAGGCAAGTCCCTTGGTCCCGCAGGTTCATATTGAACGACTTGTGTTAAGAAAACTGAAGGACACGTGCGGAGATATTACTAATGTTTGCACAGCATTTGAGATCATTTGGAACACAGAGGTGTTCCTTAAAATTCAATTAAAAAAGGTCAGAAACAAGAGCAAAGGCCCATGGCTACTAAGACACAAAGATAAGAAGTAGCAAAGCGAGGGAGCATGAATAAGAAGCCAGGCGTTCAGGTGAGTACAACCAGAAAACCAGTTAGGAGGATAGCCAGGTGGGAGCAACAGCCCAAAACAACAGACAGGACTCAGAGGGTTGGCTGAGCAGGGCCTGAGGTGACCCAGGCAGCTGACACAGGCCAGTCCTCAGGCAGCTGAGGCATCAAGGGGCAGCCCAGAGCTGGCACAGAACACAGGCCTTATGACTGAACTGTAGTCTCAGCCAGAGCCTTTATAAGGCCTTGGTCAAAGCCAGAACCAGTCATAGCTGGAATCCAGATGGGCAGATCCAGTCTTGGTCGGGGAGAGCTGCCTAGGGCCCTTTGCCAGTTCCCTGTCTGTGTCTATATTCAGGGCCTCTCAGGTCCCAGTGTCTTTGTTCTTTGGCACTTAGACATGTGAACTCTAATTTAGGCTTTTTGAGGTGGCAATGGTCGCCTCATAAATCCATGGCTATTTTCTGCTGACCCAAGGTGTGGTGCTTGGCATCTCAGTGGCCATGACACTGTCCCTTTGCAAGGTCTTGCTGGTTTCCCAGTCACCCTGTAAGCATGAAATTGGAGTGGGGTGGAATGACCCTTCCCATGGCTTGAGCTGGTACCACTTAATCCTCTGCCAGCAAAGCGTGTGCTATGCCGTTGCCATTCCAATTTTACACACGAGGGCAGCCAGAGCAGCCTGGGCCTCACGCAGCACGAGTGAGAGACCCCGGTTGCCAAGAAAACCTTGAATGTTGGGAGTCTGCGCAACAAGAGCCGGACAGGAGTGAACATCATCATGGCTCCTTGAACTGAGGAGGTGTGCGTGTCTATACAAAGTCCCTCAGAGAAAGGACCCGATTGATTCCCGCTCCAGAACTGAGACAGACAACAATGAGGAGGTTGATCTTCCATTCCAGAAAGACTCACCACCTCTCAGCACTTCAAGGACCCAGTCCCACATGACTGCTGAAGCAAGACATTCTGATGCTTCCCTCTGCACAGGAGAGAAAGGAGCTGGGTTTTTCTTGGGTGTCTGGCAGTTGTAAACCTGCCACGGCTTAGCATGACAGAAGGAGTCAGCCCCGCCCTCCGTCCAGCAGGTGTAGAGCTCCCACTAGGCCCAAGCCTCAAGGCCAACACCACGGTGGGTCTCATACCAGATGCCCTTTCCAACACCACCCACACATTGGCCTGACTGTGTGGAGGCCTGAGTGCAGGGTCCGAAAGAGCCCTCTCCTCTGCACCCTGGCAAGTGTGGCCCAGCTTCCTGACAAGTTCCCCGTAACAGACAGGCTCCTCTTCATTCCAAAACCTTGCTGCAAAATGTGCTTGGTCCACACGCCCACACCCCAAGGAGGGAAGGGCAAAAGGTGAGGTGCTGGTGGGATGCGTGGAAGGTTATTTTTAGCTCAGCCTGTAGCTTACTCACAAATGGTCCCATCAAAGGAGTCATTCTCAAAGGCCATCAAGAGACGTGTGCCTAGGAGGATTTATGAGCTTAGACACTGGGTTAGGGAACTCTCCTAGATCAGCCATCACGTGACCTAGACTTAAAGATAAGGAGAAATGGCTTTCAGGACAGTCCCCTGAGTCTCAGCCTTAGGCCACTCCGTGAGTCATCCCTAGGGGAGGAATAGACCCATTTTGGACCCCGTAGACCCCACACAGTACTTTTCCTGTTTCCCAGTGGATGCAGGGACACCAAGACAGCCTTTGAGCTTGCTGTTGTTCTTTGTCAGACCCGAGTTCCTGAGCCCGAACACTGAAGACCATTCTTCCCAGCTGCTGCCTCTCCATTACCCATTGGCCAAAAGCTGGTTTCCCCAAACTCTTTCCACGCTACCAACCTCCACAGCCCTGAGTCTTGGCTAAATCCCTGGAGAGCAGCACCGTAGCTACAGCCAAGGTGACCGAGTTAGCATTTCCTGGAGAATAGAGGAATGAGCAATCTCCAGACCAGAGCTAGACTATAGTGTCTGGGGTCCTCTCAATTCACCCCCCTCCCGGTTCTTCTCAAACCCACCTTCAACTCCCCACCAAGACACCTGGAACTCTGGAGAGCCTGTTCTCAAGCCTTGCTCCAGATTCGACCTGCAATGCCATCCGGAATCCAAGCAACAGTTCTCAATGTGTGACTTGTGACCCCTGGGTTGCATAACAGACATCCTGCACATCAGGTATTTACGTTACAATTCATAACAGTAGCAAAATTACAGTTCTGAAGCAGCAACAAAATAGCATTATGGTTGGGGTCAGCACAAAGTGAGGAACTGTGTTAAAGATTCACAGTGTCAGGAAGGTTGAGAAGCGCTGCTCTCAAGTCTATGTGGAGCATTCCACCTTGCCTCGTCCCACCTGTCAGCTGCTCTCCTTGTGCTGGAAATACTCAAAATGCAGAGGACAAACTCTGTTCCCATTCTAGTCTCCTGAGCCCCCACCCCCACCCTACCCTGGCCAGGCTTCATGAAAAAAACCACTGGAAGTGGTTGGCCATGACAATGAAGACCTGCCCTTTGGATGGGGACTGATGAGGAGGAAATGTCCCTCATAAGGAAAAACAGACCAGCCTCTCTGCCCAAAGCCAGTCAGCTCTCCAGGATCCATAGCCCGGGGAACATGCTCTGAGGGATCCCCTTGCTGTCTCTCCCGGAGACCCAGGAGGGGCACAGGCCGGGTGGAAGCTCGTAAATGGCTTTGAAGATGAAACAGGCCTGTGGCCAAGGATTGTTGACACAGCCACACTAGGAGGCGCTGCCAAGCCAATAAAACACAGCTATTGTCTCTTCTTGGCCTCTTTTAATGCCAGCTACTGCGGGCATATAAAAGGGCCGTCGCGACCCAGGGAACACACGGCCTCAGCTCCATCCACTGTCAACTTCTCTCCTCTTCGCACGTGTCGATCCTCCACCATGACCTGTGGCTTTCGAACTGGAAACTTCAGCTGCGCATCAGCCTGTGGGCCCAGGCCTGGCCGATGCTGCATCTCCGCAGCTCCCTACAGGGGGATCTCCTGCTACCGTGGACTCTCAGGGGGCTTTGGCAGCCACAGTGTCTGTGGGGGCTTCCGCTCTGGCTCCTGTGGACGCAGCTTTGGATACCGCTCTGGAGGTGTCTGCGGGCCCACACCCCCCTGCATCACCAGCGTCTCTGTCAATGAGAGCCTGCTCACGCCTCTCAACCTGGAGATCGACCCCAATGCTCAGTGCGTGAAGCATGAGGAGAAGGAACAGATCAAGTGCCTCAACAGCAGGTTCGCAGCCTTCATCGACAAGGTGGGTGTCTTGGACCAGCCCCTTCCTGGGTCCCACCATATGCACAGCCAAGGCTGGGGGCTAAGGGGGAAACAGTGAATGCAAACCCATTGAACCCCCAAGGCCAGAGGGACACAGACAGAGACTGGAAACAGGAACTTTTGAGAAAGGAACTTTAACCACCCCGCTTTGCAGAAGGTTAAGTGCCTTATCCAAGGTCACATACTAAGAAGAGGCAGCTGAGTTCTGGGGACATGGCTTAAGCACTTTTCATGACCCCAGGTGAACTGCCTGATGTTAGTGCTCAAGAAGGATCCCCAGGTGGTAAACTACCCAGCCCCAGTGTGGTTATGGATAGATGACACGCCAACAAAGGAGGACATGGGCTTCACGTGTCGTTGCTGCATGTGTGCAAACACACATGCATGCACACATGCACACATGTCTGACATGGAAAAACAAACTGAAAAGAGAACTGGGGCCTACAGAGCCCAGGCACAACTTCGCCCAGAGCTGCCCTCTGGGACTTTCCAGCGTGTGAGACCAAGTCGTGAAGGAAGGTAGTGTCCTCCTCGATCAAGGGCAGGAAGAGTAACTGTGGAGACTGTCTGAAAGCTCCTCTCACAGGGCTGCTTTAATCCCACGTAGCAGCTGCGCCGCTGTACTTTGTGCAAGCTACTGCACTGGCGCTCAGCATGCGACCTGAGCTTCAGTCACAGCCCCCGTCCTCGGGGCCCCATAGGAAAGCAGTGTCTGTGTGGTCTGGACTCCACAGACATCCACTGCAGAGCCAGAGCAAACTTGAGCCTGCAGCCTTCTTCACAGAATTCAGGCAGCCATGTGCAGCTGAGGTTTAAGCACAGGGAGAAAGGTTTGGGCTCCAGGAGAAAGCAGCTCTGGGATGGGGAGAGCTGTCCAGAACAGGCACACACGAGACACTAAAACCAGCACAGGAGAGAACTCACCAGGGATACGGCAAGGGCATCAGACGAAATCGTCTACATCCGAGAGTGGACCGAGCTGGGGTGGGGAGACAGAGGTAACACGCAGCGTGGGACCCAATAATCTGTTATTATCAGGTGGGCTCTGCTCCTGCAGGTCAAGGGTCTCTCTCCACAGCCAGCACGTTCGCTGGCCTTCAACCCCACTCTTGAGTGTAAGGGTGGAACACGGGCATTTCTGCACTCATACCACACGTGCCTATTATTCTAATTGTGTTGTTGCTGCAGGGTTCCATAACTGCCACACACTTCACTTTCCAAAGTTTACAGTCTAAACAGGCCTGCCGAACATTCGCAGGTTGGCTGTCATAGCTGCCTTGCTGTGTTGCCTTCTCAGGGTAGCATGCCTCTCTGCACTTTGAGACGGGAACTTTAACTACCCTGCTCCGCAGAAGGTTAAGTGCCTTATCCAAGGTCACATACTAAGAAGAGGCAGCTGAGTTCTGGGGACACGGTTTAAGCACTTTTCATGACCTCAAGTGAACTGCCTAAAGTTAGTGCTCAAGAAGGAGTCCCAGCTGGTAAACTGACTCAGCCCCAGTGTGGTTATGGAAAGATGACACGCCAACAAAGGAGGACATGGGCTTCACGTGTTGTTGCTGCATGTGCGCAAACACACATGCATACATGCATGCACACATGCACACATGCATGCATACAAACAACATGCACGCACGCGTGCACATGCACAAGCACCCTTACCTTCTGATCATGCAAGGGTCCATTCTCAGACTTTAATTCTGAATGGCAGGTGCGCTTCCTGGAGCAGCAGAACAAGCTGCTGGAGACCAAGTGGCAGTTCTACCAGAACCGCAAGTGCTGTGAGAGCAACGTGGAGCCGCTGTTCGAGGGCTACATCGAGACCCTGAGGAGGGAGGCTGAGTGTGTGGAGGCTGACAGCGGGAGACTGGCGGCTGAGCTCAACCATGCCCAGGAGGCCATGGAGGGCTACAAGAAGAGGTGAGAGTCGCTGGACAGTCTTGGCAGGAGCTCCCTGGGTGCATAGGAACATCTGGCCTGTGGTTGACTTCTCTGCCTGCCTAGGTCAGGAAGCCCGCCCCCACCTTGCCCATTAAGGAGCTTCTTTCCCTGCCTTCCTCTCCTTTGCAAGCTAGACCATCATCAGCCTCCCCGAAGGGGTACAAGGCTCCCTTCTCCACCTAATAAACACTCTGGGGAAACCTACATTTCCTGGTCTTCAGAACTAGCCCTTAAGCCTCTGGATGCTGTTTTTCGGGTTTCTTCATCCACTCTCTTCTCCAAAACCTTCCGCACCCAGGTAGACCCAACAGGATGCTACTAATCCAGCCAGCAGTATGCATGGTCTAGGCCCTTGGGGGCTTTACCGTCTGCTGGGACGCAGGCATGACATTGTCACATATGGAGACTTGCAGTTACATGCGACACAGCCATGAAGGATGGGCGCTGAGTCTTAGAAAGCTTCTGCTTCTCAAAGGGACCAGCCTTCTTCAGTGCCATGATTTGCTATGGCCTCTGGCCACTATCCTTGACTCTGAGCAGGCCTTCCCACAGAGTGGTCCCTTGGCTCCTTCCAGGAAGATAATGGACAGGGCATCAACCAAAGGCTCAGAGCAAAGGAGAAGGAAAAATGGCATCTCCCTCTGTCCAACCTCACACACACACACACACACACACACACACACACACACACACACAGGCACGCACACACGCACACATGCACACGTGCACAAATGCACAGCTTCCAAAAACCACGATCCTGTCTCTACTGTAAAGACCCAATGTTCCTACGGGCCTGTGCAGAGAGCCTGGCCTCTCCCAGGTCCTCGTACGAGGCCTGGAGTTCAGGCTGCTTTCTGAGACAGCTTCACGACCACTCCCACCTGAACAAGGCCTCCTTCCCCCCTGCCTCAGGTACGAAGAAGAAGTTGCACTCCGGGCCACAGCAGAGAATGAATTTGTGGCTCTGAAGAAGGTGAGTGATTGAAGCTAGTCCCTGCCTTCCACCCACCCTGCCCCCTCTAGCCTGCCACTCATTGGCCAGATGCCCCAAACCCAAGGAGGAATTAGAATTATGACTCTCTGCAACCCCCACAGGATGTGGACTGTGCCTACCTGCGCAAGTCAGACTTGGAAGCCAATGCAGAGGCACTGACCCAGGAGATCGACTTCCTGCGGCGACTGTATGAAGAGGTGAGGGTGGTAGCCTTGGCAAGCATACACGAGACTCAGAAGGAATCCCCAAACGCACCAAGTTCCCCCCATAATGAACCTAATCTGACACATGAGGCCAGGTTAGAGACTGCTTGGGCAGGGGACTGAAAAGTCAAGCAGACTAGCTGAACTGTCCACTCAGAGACCACCTAGTCCTTCCTGAACCAACAGGTATAGCCCAACACTGCTGGCCCTAAGGCGAGTCTAAGAGAACATCAGACCCCAGGGCGCAGTCTGTCCCTAAGGAACTATCCAGAGACAGCCTGGATTCGCTAGGCCTAAGCAACCACACAAGCAAGAATTTGGGAAATGCTCATGGCTGCCTCCGAGCGAAAGTTAGAAACAGAAATCAGTCTCTTTCCAGGGTCGGTCATTCTGCTACAAATATGACTGACATGTTCCAAGAGAGTCGTGGGGGTTGGGGGAATGGCGGGTGAAGAAAATCCCAGACAACCTGACTTTCTTCCTCCCCCTCCTCCCGCAGGAGATCCGAATCCTCCACGCCCACATCTCAGACACCTCTGTCATCGTCAAGATGGACAACAGCCGGGACCTGAACATGGACTGCATCGTGGCTGAGATCAAAGCTCAGTATGATGACATTGCCACCCGCAGCCGGGCAGAGGCCGAGTCCTGGTACCGCACCAAGGTGAGTGAGTGGTCACAATGCCTGTCCTTAGATGTGACGGTGGGAAGGACTCTGGGCTCTGTCAGAAAAGGCTTCTTGCACCCCAAGAATCACAAAAAGATTGCAGACAGCTCTCAGGTTGGGGAGGCAGCCCTGGCTGAGCACCGTGCTGCTGTGTGTCTTGTGTACTCAGTGGCTGTGCTCACTGGGTCCTGTGCCTCATGGGCATCTATCTCTGCTTCCCCCATCCCCAGTGTGAGGAGATGAAGGCCACAGTGATCCGGCATGGGGAGACCCTGCGCCGCACCAGAGAGGAGATCAATGAGCTGAACCGCATCATCCAGAGGCTGACAGCCGAGATTGAGAACGCCAAGTGTCAGGTATGTGGGGGTCAGCTGTGCTGAGACCAGGGACACTGGATGCCCACTCAGTGCCATAGTGCCAGCATGTGCCCGGCCTGGATCTTACCATTTAGTATACCTTCTAGTTATGTATGCCCACGGTCACGCTGATTGAATCCAGTCTATAAAGAAAAAGGGGTTTTTTTGAGAGTGAGGGATGTTTCCCAGATGGTTGCAGACTAGATACATCCAGGTAACACATAGTGCCACCCAGAGATCATAAGATATCCCATTCTCTGTGTGTCCCCAGAACACCAAGCTGGAGGCCGCAGTGACCCAGTCTGAGCAGCAGGGAGAGGCCGCCCTCACTGATGCCCGCTGCAAGCTGGCTGAGCTGGAGGCTGCCCTACAGAAGGCCAAGCAGGACATGGCCTGCCTGCTCAAGGAGTACCAGGAGGTGATGAACTCCAAGCTGGGCCTGGACATCGAGATCGCCACCTACAGGCGCCTGCTGGAGGGCGAGGAGCAGAGGTGGGTCCCTGGTCCTCTCCACTACCTTAGAAACTTTCCCTGCTTAGACTGTCTCCTACCTTCACATCTCAGTTTCCGACCCAAGAACCAACAGAAGTTAGAGCCATTTCTGCCTGGAGCCCGGTGCTCTTGAACTGGCCTTGGGTGGCTTCATTACGCAAGCCCCTGGCACCACAGAGCCAGAACTCCAACCAGCATAGGGGCCTGCTAGGACTAGAGCCAAAGTGCCCTACCTCTGGGTCAGAACTCTCATGGGTCCTAACTCTTGGCTCTTCCAAGATGGGCACCTTGCCTATAGGTCCATGAGGTCTTGCCCTGGGTTCGAACTGCTGGCCAACTTCTGCCCCTGGCCTGTGTGCCCAGGAGGACACCTTCGACCACAGTGCTGGACAGAACAGCACAAGTGGTGGGGGCTTTCCTCTGACTCGTAGTTTCAGGGGAGCTGGGTCCACTGTAGCAAGGAGAGTGGTAAGGCAACTCCGCCCACAACAGTGGAAGCAAGTTAAGGCGGCATGAGGCAGGAACTCGCTCTCTTTCAGTCTGAAGATTTCAAAGAGCTCTCTAGTGGTTGGCTGCTTTGCTTTTCTGATCTTCATATTGAACCCCAATGTCTGTCTCTGGGTTTTTATTAATTGTCCTACAGTATGTCATGGGGATGTTCCCATGGCAGCAGACTAGACAGGATCAAGAGCCAGAGACTAGAGTGTAACCTTTGAAGTCTCTCTTCTGGTGACCTACTATCTCCAGCTCAACCCCACCTCTTAAAACTCCACAGCTTCCCAAAACAGCATTAGCGACCAGCCCTTCAAAGTGTGAGCCAGTAGGGAGTCATTTCTTCCTAAAGCTGGGCCTAGCCCCGTCTGTCAGAGACTTGTTTGGGCTACACATTGCAGAATCAGCTGAATAAAGGCAGACGAGACTTGAAGTCAGTCTGAAGTCTGTTCAGTATAGTGCGCCCTGCATGGCCACAACCACCACAAAGACGCCTTTGTCTAAGTGACAAAGATAAGGATGTGGTTTCTGAGGAAGCCCTGATGATGCCTCGTTCTGACTACTCTCTCCTTCCCCTTCCTTCCCTCTCCTCAGGCTGTGTGAAGGTGTTGGAGCCGTGAATGTCTGTAAGTATAATCAACCCTGAAAGGAAACTGTAGCCTTGGACATCAGCAAAGACTTTCCGGTGTGGTATACAGACACTGGGTAAACATCACTAACAGCTCTAATCAAGGGTACTAGGTTGTTCATGCAGAAAGAGACACTGAGATCAGCTTCCATCAGCTTCCAGAGTGGCTGCAGTGAAAAAGGGAAAGATACCGCTCCAAGGGCCTTCAGAAGTCACTTAGTATAATGTCTGCCTTGTAGAAGTGAGGGAGCTGTGTCCACAAAAGGAATCACAGAGCAGAAGCTGGCCCATAACTCAGCCTCCTGGCTCCTAAGAGGAGGCTTTTCTACACAGTTTACAAACTAGACTGAGCGTTCTTTGTGACCTTCCCCAAAGGCTGGAGCAACCTAACTGACCAAGGGAAGGTGACTGACTGGGGTGGCCACCAGCCAGGCTTAGAGACCCTTCCCTTGTCCTTACAGGTGTCAGCAGCTCCCGTGGAGGGGTCGTGAGTGGGGACCTGTGTGTGTCTGGATCACGGCCAGTGACCGGCAGTGTCTGCAGTGCCCCCTGCAGCGGGAATGTGGCAGTGAGCACCGGCCTGTGTGCACCCTGTGGGGGTGGCTCCTGCTACCAGGGGAGGTGTTAGAGGTCTGGAGGGAGCCGGGAAGAGGCTTGCCCCACAAGGCTGACCACAGCAGTCTCAAGCTCTGCTGTCCTTGTGTTCTGAGAATACAGTCCCCATTCCCAGCAGCTGCCCTCTGCCCAGCTACCTGCCAGCAAGGAGCCTGCTGCTGAGAGATCAGCCTCTTGCCTCAGTTACAGCCCTGAAGGTGCCCAGTGCCGCTTCCTGAGACCTCAGCCTCTAGGCCCTGTTGTGTAATAAACTGTGCCTACTCTCAGAACTGTGTGCGGTGTCGTGCTTTCTTGGGGTGAGCTCATGGTGTCACCTAGGGGTCACTGGCCTGTTCTTGTGATAGACATCTACAGGGCCTGATCCCAAACAGAACCGCCTCTCATTCCCGCCAGGCAGAGCTCATAGCACAGGCGGCCTATACCACACCTACTAGGCCCTGTGGCTTTGCGGGTGTGCTCCCAGTGTTGCCCACCAAAGAGAGATGTGATGCCAAATACCTGTTTCTCCCAAATGCACATCCTTTCTTCATTCCCAGCAGCCTTCTCAATCATCCTGAGGTTGGGACAGTGAGACAATGGGCTTCCAGCTTCCGTCCTGAAGGAAACAGAGGCCACAGGCTCTGCTGAAAGGCAGGGTTGCATTGTCTGCCTGCCTGTCTGCCTGTCTGCCTGTCTACCTGTCTGTCTGCCTGCCTGTCTGACCATCCATCTGTGTGTGGGTTTGGGAGGTGCTGGGGGACATCTGTCTATCTAGTCATCCATCTGTTTGGGGGGGAAAGGGGGAGTTGGAGGTAGGTGTCTGTCTGTCTGTTGATCCATTGAACTGTGAGTGAGCATGTATGTCTGTCTGCTGTCCATCTGTCTTTTTGTATGTCTGCCACTGTGGTTCCACCCATACCCCACTTTCTTCTCCCACATATATCACTCCCCGCACCCCAGCACCACACTCACATCACAGCAGCAGCTATCAGGAGTTGTGTTGCTCTTTGCGTTGCTCTGGCCCCCACTCCTTGTTGCCATGGCCACGTCACTGCTTTGTTCTCAGCACCTGAGCATCTCATCCCCAACATGAGGATGGCCACTCTGTTCTTCGTGGCCTGACATCACCGGTCCTGGGGATGGTCCAGAATAGAGGATCCAGAAAAGCTCTGAGCCCAAGCTAGAGAAGCAGATCTCAAGTGCTCTCTATCCCCAGGCATCCATCACTGATGCCACCCCACCCCTCTTCCTCAGTACTGCTGAGGCCCATGACCTCCTTCCCCTTCACTCTTTAGGTCTTAGGCCCTCTTGATCTACACCAAGCTCCCTGCCTCCATCTCTCCTCCACCCGTGGCCCCTAAGTCTCAGGTCTACAGCCTTTCCCTCCTGCCTCACAGGCTCTCACTCCTCCCAAGGGCATCACCCATTGGTCCACACCCCTCACGCTGCAGCCTCACCTTGAGAACTCGGGCCCCTCTACCTTTGTGCCCTGACCCTGGACCATTGCACCAGCCTCCATCTTGGCTCCCACTATGCTCAAGGTCCTGCTCCGTTAAACCCTAGACCATGCTCAGAACCCTGATGCTCAGCAGCAGGCCCCCATGCCATCACTCCACATGATCCCTCTACCACAGCCCTGGCCCCGAATTCTTCCTGCCCCTCCCTACATCTTTCTCCTCCCTACTCTGTCAAGAGACTTGTTTTTTATTCCTCTTTGCTCTTTGGGGTCCCACCACGCAGCTCCCAAATAATCACATGGAGACTTATTACTTATAAATGCCCAGTCTTAGCTTAGCTTGTTTCCGGTCAGCTTTTCTTAAATTACCCTATCTACCTTTTGCCTCTAGGCTTTTACCTTCTTATTCTATGTCTGGCTGTGTGGCTGGGTGACCGGCCCCTGGCATCCTCCTGTCCTCCTTTTCTCCTTCTCTTGCTCCTCTTCTTCTCTCTCCTCTCTCTATTTATTCTCTCTGCTTGGAAGCCCTGCCTATCCTTTCTCTTGCCTAGCTACCAGCCGTTCAACTCTCTATTAGACCAATCATGTGTTTGAGGCAGACAAATGCAACATAAAAGAATGTAACACATCATTGCATCATTAAACAAACGTTCCACAGCATAAACAAATGTAACCCGTCTTTAATTACTACTCTAGAACAAAGAGCAGTGCCCTTTGAGGCCACAGTCCTGTCCAGAACTGAAGCAAGCATCTCTCCTAGCCAGGCTGCCCCTGGATTCAGCCACCAGGACGGTCCTCCTCTTCCTCCCAACACTTTCTAGCATACTTTCTTCTCTCCCTACTGCCTCAAAACCATGTAGCAAATGTCTGTGTCTTTCAACAAGCTTAGAATTATTGAATGACAATAAATTATTTAGCTATATCAGTACCCTTGACTGCAATTTATTTAGTAATTCTGATCTCCCTATATAGTGTGGCAACTGGCAGTCACAAATGGTTGGTTAGTTGGCTGGGTTTTCTTGTTTGTTTTATGAAACAGGTTTTCATGTCATCCAGATGGGTCTGCAACTCACTATGGGTCCTCCTGCCCTCACTTCCTGAGTCTTGGATTATAGGCATGCACCACCAACAGCCACCCACCCCGCTCCAGTTGTCTTTATCCCAACAATAGTTACTGCTGTCACCCGTCAGACACAGCACATCCACACAGCAATCCATCTCTAAGTGACAGAGTAGCTACAGGAGTTCAAGACGCCTCAGAGTTCCTAGAGATCTTCCTGAGCACAGAGTACTGACACCTATGTGGGTGGCCATGACCTGCTGTGGAACTGCTGGACGGCAGAGCCAGGCATACGCACCATCGGGCCAGTCAGGTGAGGTCCAAGGCCAGATCCGTACAGACAGAATGGTCTTCACTGTTCTTGGTGTGTTGGACAAGTTCTCAGGCCTGGTTTTTCTGATATAGTTTAATCTGCTCATGTGTCCATGTGTTTCCATCTACTCTGATAAGCTCGTGGGTGACACTTTTTAGCTTACATAAATGAGCTATTTATCAGTGTGTATCTTGTGACAGATATGCAACAGTTGATAGTATCTTCACACACACATGCTCACACAAGATGCAGAGACAGTTGAAGATATCTTCACACACACACATGAGTTGCAGAGACAGTTGAAGTTATCTTCATACATACATACATGCACATGTGCGCACACACACAAGATGCAGAGACAGTTGAAGGTATCTTCACACACACACACGCAAACACACGAGATGTAGAGACAGTTGAAAGTATCTTCACATACATACACACGTGCATGCACACACGTACACAAGATGCAGAGACGGTTAAAGGTATCTTCATACACACACACACACACACACACACACACACACGAGATGCAGTGTTAATGAACCTGCCTTGTTATTTGCACTCAAATGGAACCAATTTCTGTTTTGTAAAATGGAATCACCCTGTTCAAGGCTCAGTTCAAAAGCCACTGTTTTACACAATTCAGAGTGGGGAGAAGCTTGCTCATAGCATACATAGGGACCTCCACAGAACACGAGCCCCATCTTCCATGGCTCCCTCTACCCTCCAAGTGACCTCGGGCTATCTAAATGAGTACCAGCACCCCCCACACACACACACACACTGGCTCTGACCCACCACACAGTGCTTTCAAGTCTCCTAGGCCCCCTTCACTTGGTCCCCTATGGGGGCCTTGAATGTTCTCAACACCTGGAGTGCGGGGACA